ATAGACTAGACTATAGACTAGACTATAGACTAGACTATAGACTAACTATAGACTAACTATAGCTACTAGACTAGACTATAGACTAGACTATAGACTGACTATAGACTAGACTATAATATCTAGACTATAGACTAGACTATAGACTAGACTATAGACTAGACTATAGACTAGACTATAGACTAGACTATAGACTAGACTATAGACTAGACTATAGACTAGACTATAGACTAGACTATAGACTAGACTATAGACTAGACTATAGACTAGACTATAGACTAGACTATAGACTAGACTATAGACTAGACTATAGACTAGACTATAGACTAGACTATAGACTAGACTATAGACTAGACTATAGACTAGACTATAGACTAGACTATAGACTAGACTATAGACTAGACTATAGACTAGACTATAGACTAGACTATACTAGACTATAGACTAGACTAGACTAGACTATAGACTAGACTATAGACTAGACTATAGACTAGACTATAGACTAGACTATAGACTAGACTATAGACTAGACTATAGACTAGACTATAGACTAGACTATAGACTAGACTATAGACTAGACTATAGACTAGACTATAGACTAGACTATAGACTAGACTAAAGACCATGTATGTTTGAAACAATATTGGTCATAAAGGACAAAAGAATATGGATGATCTAACTAAATTTTTTTTAATAATATTGACTTTTTTAACCCTTATAATGCATGATAGTCGATTTAACGATTTTGTTAGCACAGAAAAGTCGACTTTTCTACAAAAAGTAAAATAAAATAGAAAAAATTTGTTTTGAAAAAGTAATAGAATGGGTGGGAATAAATTAATTTAATAGGAAAAATGAAATAATCTTTGGCCAACATTTCATGGTTGAAAAAACCTTCGACCTTTGCCTTAAATCTATTCTTATGATTTCAATAAATTTATCAATAAATTTATTATTAATTTTTTCGATAGTATTTAATATTATTGCTTTTCTCGAATGTGATTCTAATCAAATTTCAATTTATTGTATTTATTTGTAAAATATTGTTTTTAATCACAATTCAAAAATCAAATATTTCTGTTGTAATTTTAAAAAAATTATCTGAGGGCGCCCAATGAAAAAGGTCAAAAAAGAAAAGAATGCTGTCTAAACCACTCCTTACAATGTTTACATTCAATTTACAATTGTTTTCAACAAAATTCATTAAAATTATTAAAAAATTATATATATTTTCCGCAGCTTCTAATTTGTTTAAATATACATAAATTTAAAAAATTGGGAACTCAAGACAAAAACACACCTTGTTTACCAATATAATGGAAAATCAATTTAATTATTAAAAAAAAAAAATAAAACCAAACACTTTTTTATTAAATATTTCTATGAAACTCCAAAATTTATTACTAATTTTGTGTAATAATAAAAAAAGTCACTACATAAAAGTACTTCTTTTTTAATATTGCGTAATATACATTTTATTTACTTTTTAAAATTTTCACAATTTTCTTTTAAAATTTTACTCACCAAGAAAATTTGTGTGTTAATTTACTTTTATTTTAAATGCGAACTAAAATAGTTTTTAACTTTTTATTAAAAGTTTTGTTTTTTTTTTGCTCTTAATTTGACGTCGTTGTAGTTGTTGAAGGTGTATTGAATGAAATTAATTAAAGTTATTTTAAAACACTTTTGCACTTGTACAACGTAGAAAGAAAAGTGCGTCTTATCCTGCTAAGAAAAACGGTGAAATTCTCTATTTGACTTTGAAATATCCTTTGCCAAATGAAAGTAACAAAAAATTGAAAAATCAACCACCACCATCAGCATGTAGGAGCAGCAACCAAAATTACGAATACTGGTGGTAAGGAAATGTATATAAAAACAAACAGTCACGAAGCTGTTAGGGCGCATGTTCGAGTATCATGGAAAAGTTAGTGAAGAGGAATAGAAATATATGAATTGCAATGTTGATTTAATGCAGAACAGGGCTGGGTATTGCATGCATACATATGCAAATATAACAAAGCAAATATATAGATAGATAGATAGATAGATAGATAGATAGATAGATAGATAGATAGATAGATAGATAGATAGATAGATAGATAGATAGATAGATAGATAGATAGATCGCTAGATAGATAGATAGATCTAGATAGATAGCTCATCGATCGACTAGATAGCTAGCTAGCATCGATAGAGCTCGCTCGCTCGCTCGCTAGCTCGCTCGCTCGCTCGCTCGGCTCGATCGCTCGCTCTTCTATCGCTCGCTCGCTCGCTCGATCAGCTCGCTCGCTCGCTCGCTCGCTCGCTCGCTCGCTCGCTCGCTCGCTCGCTCGCTCGCTCGCTCAGCTAGCTCGCTCGCTCGATCGCCTAGCTCCGCTCGCTCGCTCGCTCGCTCGCCTCGCTTCGCTCGCTCGCTCGCTCGATCGCTCGCTCGCTCGCTCGCTCGCTCGCTCACTCGCTCGCTCGCTCGCTCGCTCGCTCGCCCTCGCTCGCTCGCTCGCTCGCTCGCTCGCTCGCTCGCTCGCTCGCTCGCTCGCTCGCTCTCTCGCTCGCTCGCTCGCTCGCTCGCTCGCTCGCTCGCTCCTCAGCTCGCTCGCTCGCTCGCTCGCTCGCTCGCTCGCTCGCTCGCTCGCTCGCTCGCTCGCTCGCTCGCTCGCTCGCTCGCTCGCGCGCTCGCTCGCTCGCTCGCTCGCTCGCTCGCTCGCTCGCTCGCTCGCTCGCTCGCTCGCTCGCTCGCTCGCTCGCTCGCTCGCTCGCTCGCTCGCTCGCTCGCTCCTCGCTCGCTCGCTCGCTCGCTCGCTCGCTCGCTCGCTCGCTCGCTCGCTCGCTCGCTCCTCCTCGACTCGCTC